TTCCCAGACGCTGACGAGGATGCCAGCGGGCGCCACGTGGGGCACGAGCAGATGGCACCCTCGGAGCAGAAGTTGGCAGGCGCGCGCCCAGCTTCGGCCTGGTCGCAACTTGACGTAGCTCTCGCACAATCCGCGGCCGTGCAGAACAAATGTACGCGTATATGATTGCGAAGATGGGTGCGGAGAGCCTCGGTGGGGCCAAGTGCTAACGGATATGAGGGCGGTGGAAATGGCCTCGCTGAAGGCTGGGCTCGGATCGGTGTAGTTCTGCTTCGGGTTCGTGTACGTGTCGATGCAGATTTCGGTATTGCTGCTAGCTTGGGATGGCCTAGATGGCTGCAATAGGTGTGGCGTGTGGCGTAGATGAAATATAATCGTCTGCCGTCTGGTATGACGCTGATAATGGTGGTGAGGTACTTGCTGCTGCTGATGGTGAGCGTTTGGTGGCTGTGCGGCTTGCTGCAGTCTGGGCCGCTCTTGTAGGTGCTGCTTGTACCACTCCTGCCGTTTGAGCTGGCACTGATTGTGATGGTGGTGAGGTACATGCTGCTGCTGATGATGAGCGTTGTGTGGCCGCGCTGCTTGCTGCGGTCTGCCTCGCTCCTGCAGGCGCTGCTAGTACCACTCCCCCGATGGCCCCAGAAGGAAAGGGGGGGAAGGTGTGGCACTTCTTTGCAGATCGGGCACTCAAGGCGGTCGGGGGGCCTGTGCTGCCACAGCTGCGCCGTCTTCTGACGCGCGCAGCGACGGGCTGACCGCCCGCGCAGACAGTCGCGCGCACAATGCTCGCGGCTGCAAAATACAGCATAGCATATCAAGCATTTGTTCTCCACGGCCAAGAGAGTGAGTACACTGCGCATCTGGTGGCTGGGCTCCTTGCTGTGAGTCTGATGGTCACGTGGCGCAGCCTGAGTAGTGAAGGTCTGACCAAATGTCGATCCGTCCTTCAATTCTATCTCGCACGTGTGGAGCTTGTCGCCATCGATCCCAGTGATCTCCCCCTTCAGTGGCATCTGGTCCTCAGACGTCGCGCCGTGTGGGCGCCACTTCTGCAAGAAAAAAACCAGCCCGCTAAGTGCGCGGATCTATCGCAGCATACATGTCACGGGGCTGCTCGTCACCCAGAGGCCTCTTGACGCTCCTGAGATGCCGCGCGTTGCTCAGTTCGGTCGCCAAGTCGATCGTGGGAAGAATCTCGATGTCCGAGTGTAGCTGCTTCGCCCATGGGTGGATGGGTGCGTTCACGTTGATCACGCCGCTCTCGTCAATGATCGGCACATTCATGCTAGCTCCACCTTGCAGCGCCAAAATGCAACAACAACCAACCAATAAATGAATGCGCTGTGGAATATCCGTGAACGTGTCGTGCCACCAGCAGAGCCGTCGTACGGTGAGTTCCAGCTTGACACGCGCGAGCTTCCAATATCGCCAGACGTTGAGGGAAGGCCAGGGCCAGTGGATACCGCTGGCCTCGGAGCGCGCGCGGCCCTGGAGCATGGCGCGAAGCTCCCCGACCAGGCTGGAATCGAACGCCTGTATGTCAGTCTTAATATGCAGGTAGCATTCACCGCCAGAGGTAGCCGCGCTGTGTGCGCATACTCCCAATAATAAACGTTGAGGCTTCCATCCTGCGTCCGAATGCCCAAACCCATTCAACTGATTTCAAGCTCTCTTCATGGCGAGGAGACGTTCGCGTCGTTCAGCAACGTTACTCCCCGGAGGCAGAGAACATGCCGCCGAGGTGCTTCAGCTCGGGGGTCAACTTGCCGACGAGACGGCGATCCTTGGACAGCTCGTGCGCAATGCCTCGTCGGGATGCGGCGACGGCGATCTCGGCCTTCGTGCGATTCTGCTTGTATCCTGTCAGTTCGCCACTTGCGTCCAAACATTCAGCGTCGAGGCTGCAAATGTCGCGGGCCTCGTCTGCTGTCGCCTCGGGGGGGGGGGCCAGTCGCTGCGCTGAATCGTCACTGACTAGGCCCACTCCAGCGTTGGTGGCGTCGTGAAACAGGTCCGGCGCCGCCAGGGCGTGCTTCGAAAGTCCGCTGGCAGCGGCGATGTATTCATATATACTTTCATAATAAATGCCCATGAAGAACTCAGGCTCTTGCTATCGCCCATGAGGCCGCCGCTGTCAGCCTTGAGGTATATCCATCCCTGCGGTGAGCTGGTTCCAATGACTGCATGGTGGCGTCGCTGGGAGGTGAATTCCATCCCTTCGATGCGCGCCCCCATTTCTTCGGGTTCACCATGCTCGGCTTACGTCTGTAGGACGCGGTTGCCAGCAATGAGCAGAAGGCCCTCCAACTTGCCAGTCTGAAATCGCCTGACTGACGTTCGCCTGGCTGGGGGTAGGGTGTGTAGCTCGAGCATGTGCGTGAATCTCAATAAGAATCTTCGATGCCTGCGCGCACTCATCCATGAGCAACCCCCCCTTCGTCGGGCCGGGCGGGTTCTCGAAGGCCATGGGGCCGAACGCCATGAGAAGCCCGAGCCGTGCAGACTGCGCCCTTGGCTTGCTGAGGATGCAGGGGTTGGTCATGATGAGGTAGATCTCAGTTGGTAGACCCCAGCACGGCGCAATCTTCCTCCTCTTCATGTGCCGCAGGTGCCTGCGGGCTTCAAATGAATCGCCCTGGCCCAAGAACAGATCCTGAATGTCAATGGTGACGGAAAGCCCAGCGGGGCGCGGCGGCGATGCGATGCGTTCGCCGGGACGGCGTGCCACTGCGAGTGCTGGTAGGAGATCGTCGTCGGACAATAAGCTGGCAGAGAAACCACCATCGACCCCAGGTAATGCAAGAGACTCAGTCCATTCGTCGCGTGGAGGTTGGCACGACGGCAGTGAACGAAAATCTCGCTTGCGAACGCCAATGCCTCGATGCGCTGTCTTCCTCGCAGCTGCATGCGTGTCCGCCATCTGACGGTGGGCCCAACCCTCGCGATTCTGCTGTTCAAGGTCCCGATCACTGTGTGCTCGTACTCGTCTGAGATGCGCTTGCAATACTTTGGCGATGGCCTTGGCTTCGTCGCGTGCCGCCCCTGGTGCGTCGACTTGAAAGGCCGAGCGCTTGGCCATGACAAATTCCTTGGGCTGGTCTTACCTTCGCCTCATAGCTTCTCTCTAGCATGGTGGTCCCTCGCATGCCGTCGAGAAATGCCTAATTGCGACTTGCCTGCTCGCGGCGACGAAGGGGCGCGCGTGTCTGTCTGGGTTGGGGTCCGCTCGTACCTCGCAGAACTGGTCCTGGCACTGCTCAAGCTTCGCACGGAGGTCTCGTAGAAAGGGCCCACGCCCATGCCCCTGTTGAAGGTAGTCCATCATTGTAGACCAGCCCCAGCTGCTGCTGACCGCGTGGCCGCGCCCAAGGCAAGGAACAAAAAGTCAGGCGGCAATGGGGGCATGGCCGAGGAGAGACGCGCGTATTCGAGTGCGCCTTGCCGTAGCAAGCCAGCGCCTGCATGTGAACTCCGCCAAAAGCGAGGACGGTATGAATATGAAGTCAATCGTTGTATCACCACTGTGGCCAATGAGGGTGGGGCCCACCTTGCGGCGGGCGTTGACGGCGCCCATGTAGCGGTTGCGCATGAGTTCGCGGAGCGCCTTGCCATTCTGAGTCTCGTGTCCGTTCCCAAACGGGTC